TTTTTTTTTTTCTATTTTCTAACTTTATCGCTTAAAATTTGGTTTATTTTTGATACTGCCATATCTATGCAAAAAAGCAGAAATTTGCTGCAATTTCAACAGCCATTTTACAATATCTGTAATGTGAGCAAACGTTTATCCCGAAATATGAAACTGTTGTTTAAACACATCTGAATTACTTCGGTATTCTGTCAATTATTACACAGTAATTTGTTGCAAATTTAATTTTCCTTTTATTTTTTCATTTCTTTTTTTTTCTGTTGCCTCTACCGTAATGCTGACGAACCTGACGAAGAAGTCTACCAAAACTTGCTCTGCGTAAATAATACATACTACAGACGTGCAGCATTGTAAGTACCGAATAGTTAAGACTGTGTTAGTTGTTTCATTAACAGAATTTTGCTAAACAAAATTATTTTGTTAAACTCTGCGTTTTTTCTTTACCTTAATGAATTATTGACTGCTAATCGACAATTTTATTTTCCTGAACTTTGTCGGCACCTAAAAATTGTATTTATTTTTTAAACTTTACAAGCCTACAATTGAGACTTCAATTTGGTCAACAATTTTTTGTACTTGTAAATCTTGAAAAAAAGGAAAGAAAATTTGCGCATAAAATTGCATTTTTTTGGTTTCAATTAACGTGAAAATTGATAACAATTTGAAAAACAAAATTTGTTTTATTTTTGCCTGCTTTATGGAACAGCTTTTCCTGTACCTTCCGCACTTTCGACCTCCTCCCCTACCTCCTCTCCTTCCCCCCTTCCCCCACCTAAAACCAAATGTGAAAGATTTTCTTTTGCTTCCACACAGTAAAAGTGCAAATTGTCAACAAAGGAGGGAGGGGGACTGTGAAGGGGGAGCCTGGGAGTTGGGAATGCGCTCATCGTTGTTGCAAAATAATTAACAAACTTCACCCATTAAAAACCAAACCGTTTCAATCCCCACACATCCTTCGACTTCATCAGGGTGTTCCAGAGTAACTTCCATATTTCACATTTTTTTTTGGCTTTAAATTGACTTTTATAAAAGGATAGCTGAAAATTTTTTGACCTTAATTTGATGTTAGGAAAACTCATTTCCTGTATTCCATCCTATTATCCCCAGACTTTTTTTATAAATTTAAAAATAAGCAGCAGTTATTCGCAAAATAAATCACCAGTCTAGGTCACAGGACTGGCATTCAGAAGATGTCAGTTGAAGTGCAAATAGTTATGCAAAGTTGACGGTACACAGTTATTTTATGCATATATGACGCAACTTTTGTTTTTAGATTTGTCTCGGCTTTTTTTTCTTGTTGATTTAGTATGCACTACCGGTACTCACTTTTTCTGCGAAGTACATTTCTGGTCATTTTGATTTCTGAGCTTTTTAGTTTAGCTAAAAGCGTTTTAATAAGACTAAAACAAAGAACTTTCTGCGTTTGAAAACGTCAAGGTTAACATTTTACATTGCAATGACTTTTTGTTGTGGTTTTTAACTTTTTTATTTTTGGAAAAGGGAGTGAAAATGTAAGAATGAATTTCTGTCAAAAATATAATTAAACTTTAAAAAAAATTAAATTAGATAAATGATGTATGGAGTTTGGTTAATTAATTAAAACACATTCTAAACGTTGCTGTTTACTTTTTGCCATTAATGCGAGAGAAAAGAAAACCTTGTTTTGTGGAACATCTATTTTAAAATTCTGTAAGGAATTGGGAGTGGTGTAGTGACGTCTCAATTTCCAATATATGTGCTTCTATTTGATTTTTTTCAAATGTTTTTTTGTTTTAAAAATTACAAGTGTTCTATCAACACGTTACTGTATTTATGTTCATTTGCTAGCAGTCTGCTATTATAGTAGACTATTCTACGCAAACAAATAGATTCCTCGTCTTTCTTCTCAAAATTAAAAAGAAGAAAGATAGACTGGAGGAAGAGGAGAATATAGATGGAGAAGAGGGAACGAGGGAGCAAAGAAGAAACAGATTATACAGGACTTATATTACTTGCTTCTGATTAGGCAATCATACCATGACGCAGGGTTCAATTTGAAGCAGCTTCCTTGGTGTTGATTTTAGAGGACCAAAAAGAAAAAAATAAAAACTGGTTCGGATGTGATTGATTATTCTGTTCTGTCATTTTTAATACTTGACAACGCGTTGTTTTCTGATCCAATCAATTTTCTGCAATTTATTTGCTTTTTGCCAGTATTTTTTTGTTTCAAACTTCGAAACGCTAATCAGACGTGCGTCTGTTCCTTTTGATGTCTAATGAATGCGTAGAGGCTGCTTAAGTTTAACCTAAAAAATGTAAATTATTTTATTGGTAATAACTTTTTTTATATACCAATTATGACTACATTTAGATAAAACTTAAAAAACTAGACAAAATAGTCAGTAAAACCAAAAAGCTATTAAAAAGGCTTAAACTTACTGATAGATACAGCTTTCCTAATTGGCTAAATCAGCTGATTTCCCACTTAATGGAGATGTCTTAAAAGCTGCAAATTTTAGAAACAGTTCTTTTTTAAACATTAAAAAGCTTTTTCGAATTAATACACATCTTAAAATAACATCATTTTGTTTATCGTCATAAGTTTTTTAGTTTGTTTGTGTCTCGTTCAAAACAACTTTTAAGCTCAGTTTTTATTCCTTTGGGGTCACCCATAGTGCTTTTCAAAAAGAATATTAGTTGGTATTTCGTACTACTAGCATTTACGTTATGCTTTTAAACTATGTTTTAGACGATTCTAATTACTGCTTCTTTTATCGTTGCAAATACTATCGTTTGAAGTACACTAAACTAGCATTAAGTTTGCTAAGATGTTTTTTCTAGTTTGGTGTGAACATTAGGTATACCAAAAGTAGCTTAAAAACCAGTTTTTTTCAAAATAAAAGATTATGTAAAGCTCACAGCTACAGTAATTATGGATGATCAAAAAAATTGCAGCAACAATCTGCTTTGTAATATTATCTAGAAGACCAATTTACTGGAAAAAATAACACATTTTCAGAGCTTGGTTTAAAACGACTAGAGTAATCAAGGAATTTGATACAGAAAATTACAAGACATAAAGAAAATAAGAAAAATTGAGTTTACTGTGTCAAAAAAAAAACTTACAAAAAAATCTGAGCTTTAGACCATTTGCTTCAAATTTTTCCCTCAGCAGAGCAAATTAGCTAAAATAGCCATTTTTTATCTTTAAAATCTACTGAACATACAAGACTGTTTTTTGTTTCGTTATTTTTTCTGTTCAATCTCGACTGTTTGCAACAGTTTTGAATAGTTGATTGGGAAAAAAGTATAATTTGAACTAAAAATATAATGCTTATCCTATCAATGCAATATTTTTTTAGTATTTTAATGCTAGGCCGTCATCTTATCAAGCTTAGCGAAACTATTATGGAACTTTGAGAAGTGTTCCTGCCAAAAACTTCGCAAATACATTGAATGTGCAATCTTTTTATAGTTCTTTTATTTTCTCAATCAAAAAGAAGTTACATTTTTATACTGGTTAATTTAACAGTGGCCGAAGGAGAATTATTTTCTACAGATTTAAATATAGTAAATTTTTGCAAAATTATTATCAAGAGGTGAAGTTACCAAGACATAAAATCACTTATGAGTAATCTTGTTCAACATTTGGCAGCTTTAGCAACTTCTACGTCTTTTTTAAGCGGCAACAAAACAGATCTGCTTAATAAACAATAAGCTAATTAAATTTTTTTATGTTCGCTAAAGTAAAAAATATTTTGCAAATTATTTGTTGCTGTTTTTCTAATGTTTATTGAATTTTGGCTATTTATAGAACTCTATTTTTGTTTTTGGCAATTTAACAATAAGTAATGCATAACAATTACGTTACATCCAGAAACTCAATGAACAGAAATTTAC